ACACACACACACACACACACACACACTTTATGGATGAGTTTTAGGGTTGAATTTCTAATATTATACATGAATAAATACACTATGCTTCATTGAAATTCTTAATGGTAAATTGTTTAAAAAATGATTTGAAAACTAAAACCTTAAGAAGGTAAAGGTTTTTTTTTTGTTGTTGTTCCGCTCTCAGAGGAGTAAGACACTTTTTCCTTCTCTCCTGCCCTTCTTTATCTTCCCTGCTTTACTGCTTGGAGCCTTCTCTACATTTTTCATCCGAAACTAGAAATTATGGATATTTTTATTTTTATGGATTTGGTTAGCTGGTCTCTCAATAAAATTTTTGGAACAAAGTTTTTTCTTCCATGGGAGAACATGTCAAAGGTGGGACCTCTGTTCTGGATATACTGTATATCTGGATTCTGATCACAGTATTCTACAGATTAGCTTGGTGGTCTGCTGGTGTTTCTACAAAACAGCGTCATGGCTTTTCTTTTCCTGGCTGACTGACCAATTTGATGGATTGCCGTTCTATCAGCACTCGGACATTGGTTCTTGAGCGAGCTGGACTCAGTCTGCAAGCGGTTCTATTGAGGGTCGTGGACCGGTTGTGGTTCCTGGACTTTGCTGGCCAGATGGAATTGATCTTGGAGAAGCTGATAAATCGGCTCGGCGGAATTTGTCCACACCATTTGTCTGATTGGATTCACCACCTTGAGATGCACCAGCAGAACTCTAAAGCAGATGGAAAATTGTTATTGTCTGCCTGACTTTTCTGTTCCCAAAACAACTGATTACAGAGTTTGGCTCTCGCCTACATGGCCTTGATCTGTTGAATAAATTCTTCCTGGTTAGATCACGTCGACGAGGCTCTGCCCCACACCTTCTCCCTCCTCTCACACCCGTCTGGTTTGGTTTCCTGAGCAGGCTGAGGGCTGCACAGAATTAACAGTTCCATCAATATTCTGAACTATGGCTGCACTGGTTTTGGGGACTGGATTCTTCGGGCCCACCTGAACTCACTTGTTCCTCTGGCTAATAAATCTGCCCTATGCAGAGGTTTTTTCATACACACCATAGTGTGTCACAGTGTTGATATAATATGATGTTTTTGCTTTTTCCTCATCTTCCCTTGTGTGGTTTTTTTTAGTTTTTCTGTTCTGTTGTTAAGGTGGCGCAAATGTGTTTTGCTACATGACCCGTCTTAACTGCCCCTTCCCCACTTCCCTGAATGTAGAGCACCTTGTGAATTTACTTCTCTGAAAGGTGCTATATAAATAAAACTTTACTTACTTACTTACTTGTTCCAGTCAAACAGGCTGAATTCATTCTATCAGTGTTCAAAACATTTTAAATCAGAAGACTCTGGAAGATAACAAGTCAGCAAAGACCGAGGCATTTGGATTTAAGGGAAATAAATGTACGGTGAGGCATTCCAGGTACGTTCCACTGTGAGGAAACCCAGAGGAAGACCCAGGACAGGCTGGTCCAGAACGCCTCGGGATTCACTGGAGAAGCTGGTCTGAGTCGTTGGGGGAATGAAGTGTGGACCTCTCTGTTCAGGCTGCTGCCTCCACTACCCCGCCGGATAACCCCAAGATAATGGATGGATGGAAATTTAGCTTACCGAACCGAGGAATGATGCTGGCTTGGGACTGTTATGGTGGGTATTGGACTTTAAGTAGTTTATCAGTAGACGTTTGGTAATGTTAAACAACAAGAAGAAGCTTAAGTTCATTTACCATCTTAATGTAAAAGAGCAGCAACAGTTTGAGAATCTGAACTGCAGGAAGGAGAGGTGAGAAGAGAACACCCAACCTGGAAAAACAAACAATTCATCAGTCGGAACAGCCTGATTTCACTCCTTAGACAGCTTAAATAAATAAATACAGTCTGTACCAGGCTAGAGTTTGTCCATAGATGAGGTCCAGGACATTCTTGGCAATATCAAACTCTGGTTTCCTCTGTCTTTTAAGGATTTTGTCAGAAAACAACCTGCAGACAGTAGAGAGAGGAAACTGGATGACTTTAATGTCTTAAAATTAACCCATAAAAACAAAATGAACACACAAAAGACAGGGATGAAGCTACTTCAGTGGCTTACAGGTCTTTAAATAAAGACACCACAGATCACAGGAACTACTGAGGACTTTTTAAATGGGTTTTCATGCAAATGTTTCACAAACTGCTCAGATTTTCAGAAAATTTACACAAAAATAAACAAACAAACAAATAAATAAATATTATTTACTTTAAAGTAGACAAATCATGCTTTTAAATCCTTTAGTTGGGGTCTATATAAAGTAGACCTACAATACTTTGGTCTGAATTCCTCCTTACTGTAACTGCACAAGCTCCTCTTTCACCCCTTTTCTGAGGTGTGTCTCAGATCAACTTGCTTTGAGGCTTTCTCTTTACATCCAAGCAAGGCGTTTCACATCCTGCCCCCCTACAGCTTCAAAAGCGGTCTATTCTAGTTTGATAGAGGGGTTTGCAACTATATAGTGGCACAGAAATGTTTTATTTATAATTTAAAAAAACAGATTTGCCCACCCAGCCTTACATGTTGGAGCCAAAGTCTAACCCAGAGCCAGAGGAGAATGAAGAGATAAAATAAATTTGATAAAATTGATAAGTCTACACCTTATTTAACAGTTCTGTTGCAAATACTGTGATGTAATACTTCAGAAAATGTCATAGAAAATAGAGAGAATTGAACGGGTTGAAAAATATGACCCAAACAGAATATAAAAGTATCTCCCACAGCTCCAGGAGAGACTAAGTTCTAATTTTCTGCACTCCTAGAGACTCCAAATACATAACAAAATGTACTTAATGGCTAAAGAAAATGCATTTTGCATGATTTGTCCCCTTTAATTCAGAGATTCTTAACTCAGCGCCACCTTGAGGGCCTCAAAAGAACAACAGTTTTTAACTTTGGGCCGCAGAGGGCCGCTGGACCGCATTGATTTTGAATAAGGTGCAATACACTTTCTCACCACTAGTACAAGAAGTGCACCACTCAGATGTTTAACAACTTTTTTAATACATAGTAGAAGAACCTTAGAAACGTGCCGAGAATGTAAACCTATTTTAAATGAAAAGTAGAAGCAAAAATGAAAGTAACCCGTCAAAAAATGCCAAAGTTTGTCACTAATATCAGGGGTGCCCAACCTTTTTTGAACCAAGAGCTCCTTTTGAAGTCGGCAGTTTGCCGAGAGCTACTCGTCCGGTCTCAGCATCAAAAAAACATAATTTTGTCTCCCTACTCCTCACTTCTTTAAAGTAAATAAAACAGAAAGTAATATGTTGCTAGTTTTATTTAATTTAAAGTATTGCCAAACAAAACTATCTAATTAACCATATATTTACCTTCAAAAAAAAAGAAAATATAAAATCCTTACTTAACTCCTGACAGAGAAACAGAATTGTTCATCTCCCTACTTCTCACTTCTTTAAAGTAAATAAAACAGAACGTAATATGTTGCTAGTTTTATTTAATTTAAAGTATTGCCAAACAAAACTATCTAATTAACCATATATTTACCTACAAAAAAAGAAAAGATAAAATCCTTATTTAACTCCTGACAGAGAAACAGAAAAGTGATGCTTGAACAAAAAGGATAAATTTTTTTACCTCCTTCAATTAGTACTCCCTGTAACTTGTGAGCTATGAAGGCTGAAAACCTGCCCAGTGAGAACCACAGAGTCAAATAACTTTGGAGCACAGGAACTTGTCTCCATTTATTCAAAGAACTCTCCTCTCTTCTCTCCATACAGGGGAGGAAAAACAAAACAAAAAAATCTATCAGGGTCAACATGGCTACCACAAGAGTACTGCCTTTTTTTTTTTTTCAAAATCAAAGCACACAATATGAAACTCTCTCGCAGGCAGCTATAAAACCCGGTGCTGAGCTTCCAGGACCGGTTTCACCTGATCAAATCTGTTCCTTTTATTGCCTGGAAGTGATCCATCAGGTGGGTTTCTGAATTTTATGCATTTTTGCAGAAATATCACCCACCAGGGGTTTCTGGCTGAATCCAGGCAGGAGAGCGGCTGCTGGATGTAGGACCACGGTTCCACCTCACTGGATCTCTTCCTTTTATTCCTCTGCATCAGCACAAGCAGCCCCGTGCTGGAAATCAGCCGTTTCACGCGCCGGAGCTCACCCGATGACTTTTGATTGCTCATATCTCAGCGTAGGAATGTCCCAGGAACTTGCAACCACCTCCAGGTTGTAGCGGAGATTCAGAATATTAAAATTAGCCATCTCCAGCCTGGATCTGACGTTAGAGGCTCCAGAGTAAATTGAGTACTATATCGCCCGCCAAAGCACCTTTTTCGGCCGGTCTTTGGTTAATAGCTCCGCGGGGAAACATCCCAGGAACCTGCAACCACCTCCAATTTGTAGAGGAGGATAGTAGCTTTCCAAAGTCATCTCACTTTCCTGGATCCGATGCTCAGAGCCCGCGAGAGAAGCAAATGAAGGTTGAAATTTCCTCCCAAAAGTGCACGTAAAATGGACTAAGTCGTGCGTAATTTGCTTATAGCTCCGTGGGGCAATGTCACAGAGACTCCAATCAAGTATCAGCTTGTAGGGGAGAGCCAGGGCTTTAAAATCCGACCATCCATGCCAGGATCCAATGCTCCTAGCTCGGAAGGGGGGGCTAAAACCACCCCGACGGGAGGTCCGTCGGTGCGTATTTTGGAGGTTTTTTTGCTTATTGCTCCGCGGGGGAACGTCGCAGGGACTTCATTTAACTTTCACCTTGTAGGGCAGAACCAGAGCTTTCAAACAAGACCAGCTGCAATGCTCAAAGCCGGCGCTAGAGGCTCCGCAGCAAGGTTGCGCTGCGCGGGCACCTGGGAATCAGCTGGCTGGCGATGAGTCGCCCGCGAGCGACTGGTTGGGCACCCCTGACTAATATGAAGAGCAGCTTCTGGTTCTACCATGTAATATTTTAAAAGTTCAAAACATTATCAAATACATAACAGATACAGTAATATTTTAATTTGCACTTTATCAAAAATAGTTTTTGTAGTTTATTTTTAAACATTTTGAATGTATTTTAAAGAAACGTTAAACTTGTCAAAAAGCTGTTGAAGAGCAGCTTCTGGTTCAACCATGCAAAAGTTAAAAAAGGCTTTGTTTTCATTTGCACTTTATCAAATTTATTTTTACATTTTTTTAACTTGAAAATTTTACATTAAACATTTTGAAAGCATTTATTTTATGACCACAATTTTATTTATTGAGTTGTTTATTTTTGTTATGGTTTATGTTAAAAAAATATTTTTGTGCTGATAAGCCTGAGTGGTCTGATTACTGTTATGGGCAGGTTACAATACAAAAAAATGTTTGTCATAATCATGTCTTGTGATTATTTGACAAGAATTTTACTTTTAAACTGTAAGTGTATTTAATTTAGTTATGTTAGTTATGATAGTTTAGTTATAATGTGAATACAATACAAATTAAACAAAGATTTAGAACAACTATCATTTTGATCCATACATTGGTAACGTCTGACTGGGCCTCGTGCCTCTTTATGTTCAACAAATTGGGCCCCAAGGTCAAAAAGGTTAAGAACTCCTGCTTTAATTGATAATAAGAAAAGTATTGCAGTCAAAAGGTATAAAATACTGGAATCAAGAACAATTAGGTGCTTATGGAGGATTTCAGGTAACAGCTGTGTGTACTTTCACTAGTTATGTGATAGAAGGATAGATTAGTTTTCAGGTATCTTTCACTGAAATACTAAATTTTTCACCTCCCATTTATCAATATTTTAAGTTTTTCAATCAATATTTAATTTACAATTTGGAAATTTAAAATTGCTATTCAAAACAACTTGATCCAAAGTCAGTTACAGACAGAAAACCCACCTCCACAGCAACTCTCCAAACAAAGTATCCAGCAGAGTGAAGATGAAATCCACAATGAGGAAGCGATAAAGCTCCTGACCAACAAAACTCTCCCAGCACTGAGAAGACGGAAACAAACCACACAAACAGTTATCATAAAGCAACGCATTTGTTTCAACTGCAAGAAAATAAGCGTCTGTTCATATGTTGAAAGAAACGTGTCTTTATTCAGGTTACCTTAATGTAATCAGTTCCATCAGTTGCGATCCGCCCCAACCAATGGTAGCACAGGACTCCGAGTACGCTCACTTTCAACATTAAGTTCCTACAGAACAAGAACAACATTAACAACATAGATTTAAATTAAGGCAGACATTGTTTCTGTGCTCAAAAACAATTCCTTCGTTCGTACCGGCTGAGACCAACGTATGTGCGCACAGAAGGAGAAATATAGTCCTCCACCCAGGCTGCAAAGTTGAAGAGGCCGGGCAGCAGCAGGTTGATGAGGGAGACCAGCACGGGCAGGGCCAACAGGCTGGCTTCCTGGGCAGCACCTTGTTTCTGATTTTCCTACATTTAGAAGTGAAAAAATACTAAATAATAAATAAAAACAAACAGAAAAATAAATAAAAACAAACCATTAGTCCTTACTATGTGCATGTAATCAGAGAAGTAATAGATGCCAATCACACAGCCAGTGGTGACTGCAACACACATCAACCATGCCAGGCAATGAACCATCAACCTCCTCAACCTCTCTAACCAAGGGTTTCTGCCGTGCTTGGGCTTCAACTCTCCCAACAGCTCCTGGAGACGGTGGAGGATGGAGTTAGAAACAAGAGAAGGATAAAAAGATGAGAAGAACAGAGACTGTGAGGGCGGTTAAAGAAAGCAAAGGGAGTGTCAGATCATCACATTGTTGTCTGGAGGAGGGGGTTTCTGCAGTCACTAAGTGGAAGTTTGGTGTGTAGGAGTTTGTCCAAGACATGATTAGTTTGTTTGACTTTTGTGGGTTTAGTTTTTCAAAGAAGTGATTGGTCGGATTGATTTTTTTTGAGTGAGGTTTGAAGAAGTCATAATGATTCAGTTGGATGAATGCTGGGAAGCTGTGGGGATGTGTAATGGTGCGTTCACACCGAACGCGATTTCAGCGTCAGGAGCAGCAGGTTTACATGCAAAGTCTATGGTGGACGCGCTTCA